ATTGTAATATTTTCTTTAATAGTTTTTTCATGAACACAAAATAATACTAAACAACAAGACTGTTTTGTCTTATTGCACAAATTAAAATCCAGCTCCACATATTTCTATTGATGTCATTTCCCCACTAGAAAAAATATGTGATGGAGGTCCATGGAAGGTAAATAAGTTTAAATCAAATAAACAAAAGAGGATGCAGTTAAAATAAATAAAAGTTATTTAAGCCACATTTTTGAACATCCAAAACACGTCCAGCACTTGTTGGCTGCTTGTGCTCTTTAGGTCAGATGTGTGTCGGGAAGCTCCTCTGTTGTTTGAGACACTGGAGGAATCATCTGATGGGGGAACCGTCTGATGGGGGAACCATCTGATGGAGGAACATGGCTCAACCTAACACCGGTCTCTGTTTAATGGCGGATGAAATAAAAAAAAGTGGCGGTACTTTATTTACTTTGAGCAAGCGAACATCATGTTCACAAGATAATTAATCCTCCAGATAATTCAGAGGTGGTCTGTTTGGTAAATTTTACTCCAGGAGCTGCGAGGCTTGTTTTCAAACTTCAGACTGAACTGAAGCAGCGGCTGCTGACGTCATTTCGCTCTTGCGCGATGCTGCGTTCAGGACAAGCATGGAAAACTCACCACTCTTATGCCAATACGGTCGCAATGATGCATTTAGGTACCGAAATGGAATTRCATGAACATTCACATGGTGATTATGTAATACAGCSAATCGATAATAAAAAAATCTGCGTCGACAAATTTACAYAATCGACGTCATCSATTATTTCAACTAATCGGTGCAGCYCTAGCCCACACAAATTTTTTTATTCTTATCTTAGGAGTTGTGATGCATAAACTTACCTAGAATAAAATTGATTGAACAACAGCGACAATTGGGAATGGTTATTTTCTAATGGTTTTTTGCTCGAATTTCATGTTGAAGTACTTTCTCCAACTTTCACCCCAACCAATTTTTAAAAAGTACCTCGTAGTACCATTTTACTTATTATTTTTTTTCTTTTCATGCAAAATGAGTTTCCTRCAAACTCACCCTGTAAATCCAGAGCAGTAATTTCAGTCTAAACAAACTCAACTGTCCCACTTTTCTCATATTCTGGTACAGGTTGCAGCAGCTAAATATTGTATTGTCAGTGTTTTTTTTTTCTAGTATATTTCCATCTTAATTGACAGTTCCCTTTTGCATGGAGAAAAAAAAGGTGTGATTTTTGGCTCCAAACGACGGCAGCCTGCAGTTTTGATGTCATGTTGGAAAGCGATGATAGCCAGGTTTGCTTTGCAATTATGATTTATTTTTACTGTGGTGCTTGACAGCCTTATGATGAGCGATCTGCTGCTGTGTCAGCATCCTGTTCTGAGGTTAGGTTCAAATTTAGCCTAAAGACTGTTTTTATAGATTTAGGATGAAGTTTTAAAGTCATCTCTGGGCTGTTGTTGCAAGAAACACACACAAAAAAATTTGAAAACTCTTAAACATTATAAAGTTTATATGTAATCTTTGTATTTTATTTTCCACTTTTACCTTGTGTGTTTTATACCAGTGCATGATCACTGAAGTACACTATTCTTTTAATTCAGTGCTTCTCACTCAKTTTTGGAAAAACTTTAAGAATCCATCAAAATGTCTGGCTTGAAGAATATGGTGCTCTGCAGTGTCTAGAAGTACTTTATCTTCTGTAGACAAAATTTGCCAAACAAGAAATATACCCTGCATGAGTTAAGACATTTAARTTTGAACAGGTCACAAAAACTTGAACTCCACATGACTAAAACTTAGATATATCTGGGTTTTACACAGTTTCAGTTTAGGTTTTAAAGATTAAGAGGTTAAAGTGTGATGATGGCTGTATCCAAATTCAGAGGCTGGGTCCTCCGAAGGACGCAACCCAGTCTAGGTGGGCCGGGTCCTTGGTAGATCGCGAAGACCAGGAAAAAGTGGCTCTCTTGGATGGTCTAGCCTCCCGTCCTTACTCTGGCGTACGTCCAGTCGCCTATAACCGTGACAACGCTWAACAGAAGCAAAAGTAGATGGAAATTTGAAATATATCAATATATTAGCATTATTAATATCWCAAAACAACAAAATTAGCTTAAAGGCAATATTAAAAAAATAAGGTTAACGGCTCTCCATGGTGACGTGTCTTCTCCACGGTTTCAAGTCTCTCTCTGCCTCTGGTGAGGANATTTTAATGATTATGTCCTGCTGGAGTGTGACATGATTTGTTTGTGTACAAACTAATACGGGATCAGAATTTTATATAGTTATACTTCTCATTCAATCACAATTAAATTCACTCTATCTAGGAAGCACAATTTATATGGATAGTATTTTTTATTTTTTTTTGCAATAACAAGACGGAATGAAAACAAGCAAAAATTTCATAAAAGTAACGACTTTCTAGTTCTTGCCTTTAAAAAAATGTAAGGAGTAAAAAGTACAGATAATTGTGTGAAAATGTAAGAAGTAGAAGTAAAAAGTAGGCTGAAAAATAATTACTCAAGTAAAGTACAGATACYCAAAAATTCTACTGAAGTACAGTAAAGAAGYATTTGTACTTAATTACTTTACAACTCTGATTTTGAGCAGAATATGGACCAATGACTAGAGGTGGCATTTAGACCATATCTATAAAGGTGGTAGAAAACTACTGTCAGGACCTTGAGGAGGCATATCTGACATGCTTTCACCAAAAACAATGTTTTCTAACACAACAGCCCCAAAATA